CCCCCCCACCCCCACCCCCACCCCCACCCCCCACCACAACTATATACACTGGGCTTTCTTATCTAAACTTTCTAATCACTTGCCAAGAGTAATGCATTTGGCCACAGTTTTTTATTTCTTCATTGAAAAGTACCTAACTGGTGTCTGTAAGTCTGATTCTTAACTCTTTATTGGAGCCTGGACCTCCTTTAGGTTTAAGAATAAAAATGTAAAATAAAAATGAAAGTGGACAATGCATCCGGATTATAACTGCAAGACTAATTCTACTTCATTTGAATCAACTACTATCAGTTTATAGTAAATAAGTATTAACTTACCAAGGACAAAAATTGGACTTTTCAGAGTCAAGGTAGTGTAATGGTTGAGGATGTGGACAAAGGTGACCAAGAGGGTGTGTAGGTATGGTAAAAAAAGTCAGCGTGATAGCCTTGAGGGTACAATCAAAGCCTTGCCTGTTTGTATGCTTTGCACATGTGGCACACACAAAAAATAAGCAGGGCTTTGATTACACTGATGTGGCCGCCATCTTGACTTTTGCACTACACTCATTGACACCACTGAAGACAACTTAAGTGCAAGTCCACACTCAGTTGTAGAAGCTCACTGGATGACTTTGAGCCAATCACTCTCTCTCAGCCAAACCAATCCCACAAGACTATTGTTATAGGAAGATACGGTAGGTAGGTAGACAGACAGACAGACAGACAGAATAATCAAGTCTGCCTTCCATCAAAACAAAATAACAAATATCAACATAGCTAAGTGATAAAAGCCATGAAACAGTTGCAAGTATGCAAAAGTAAATCTACATATTTTAAAACAATTTAAAATGTATTTTCTCTGTTTCATTAACAAGAAGACTTCAAGTCAAGCTTTACTTCTGATGACTCCATGGACATACACACATGAAAATTCTTGGCAAAAATACAGGAGAGTTTTGCCATTTGCTTCCTCAATGGTTTGGCTTTGTCTAGTTTTATGGGCTAGGAAGTCCATTATGGAACCTCCCTACATTTCAATTTTCAGACTGGCATTTGTGAAATTCACAAATTCACACTGGAATCTTAAACCAAGAACTTGGTTAGGGCTTTAGGCCTATTCACTGCTCCCAGACCAAAAAAAAAAAAAAGGCTCCAAAAGCACCCAATCCATTTTAACCCCCAGAATACTGTCAGTCTTTCTGGGTGAGCAGATACATCTTCAAAAGCACTAGGCTGTACTTATCCCCTATTGTATGGGGCATATGTAAGAGTCAAAGACGTGTGTGTGTGTTGTGTTTGTTGAGTGCCAAAGCCACTGTCCCGGATGAAACCCAGAGCATCCAGGAGTACATCAGCAAGATGGCACCCAAAGAAGAGCTGGTCAGATAATGCCTGAAGCAGACATGGGGAAGAGTTCAAGCACAGAAAGTGCCATGGCAAGACAAGCCCCTGCATGGGATGTACCATTGACAAATTGCTGAGGTGGCTGACACTGGGAAATCCTACCAGTGGCTGG